CGCGACGAATCACGGCCAGAGCCATAGATCCTATATTTCTGCGCCGTTCTTCGAGCCAGATCGATCTGCGAAGGTCCCGAGTCCCGGGGCCCGAAATCGGGCCAAAACGCCCGTGAACAAAGTGCAACGCCCGAATCTCAGATGAGGAGCGGGGCGGGCGCGGGCGGCAGCGGCAGCGGCGGCGGCGGCTCCGCGGAAGCGCCCCCCGCCCGCGGGGTTGGCGTGGCGGCCTTCGCCGCGGCTCGAGCGAGGCGGCGGCGGCGGCGGCGAAGCACTCGGCAGGGCCGTGCGGGTTGCCGGACCCGCTTGGCGGAGTGCGAGGGCTTCGGCGCGGTGGCGAGGGACGAAGGCGAGTTCGGCGCGGCTGCGAGGGGAGAAGGCTCGGCCAGGCGAGAGGGCAGGCGGGAGCGGAGCGAGGGCCACAGAGGGGCGCCAGGGGAGGCCTGGAAGGGCACGCCCTCGGTCTCTTGCACCGGCCTCTCTCGCTCTCTCTCTCTCTCTCTTGCCCCCTGGGCTGTCTGCCCCTCCTCGGCTCGCGATTGGGATCGGCGAGCGAAGCTCTGCACTGCCGCCTTCTTCGTCGCCGATGAGTGCAACAACCATTTTGGGGCACATCGATTCTGTAGTCGATCCCCTACTCGAAGGATGAGGGGATCGGATCGGATCAGACTCGTGGACCTCTGGCGTCGCCTCGATGCCACGGCGATTGCCGCTGCGAGACCCAGCCCGAGCCGTTTTTTGACGGTCCCGGGGCCCGGCGAGGGCCCACGGAGGCCGAACACGGCCAAAACCCTCCCGTCGTTAGGTGGCGACATCCGAACCCTACCCCCACCAATCGATTCTCCTGAATCGATGGGAGGCGGGGGCAGGGTTTGGATTTCGTTACATGTTCGACGAATTCCGAACCCTACCCCTGCCGCCCATCGAGTTGCCTGAATCGTTGATCGCCGAGGGTAGGGTCCAGATTTCGCCGCCTTCGTGATTTGTCGCGACGCGACCACGTCTGTGGACGTGCTTGCTGGGAGCCCTGGGCATCAAGACGCTGGCGGCCCCTGCTTTGCTCGGGCAAAGACAGCCCTGCTCCTCCGGAGCCAGGGGGACGCAGAGGTGGGGTCGGGGCAGAGCTAGGGTGTTATTCACTCCTCCTCCTCCTCCTCCTTCTCCCCCTCCTCACTCCTCCTCCTTCTCCTCCTCCTCCTCCTCCTCCTCCTCCTCCTCCTCCTCCTCCTCCTCCTCCTCTTCCATTCCTTTTCCTTATAAGCAATTTCTCCCTCTCGCACCCCGAGGCTAGTTTTTAGGGCGGACTGGGCGTTTCGCCTGAGACTCCCTCACCACTTATGACCCTGAACCTTCAACATTGGCAACAGTTTCACAGATGGAGGGCGGGTCGTCTTCAAACTGTGGCTCTCGCCATAGCGCAGCTCACATTCGATGTAAACAATTGCGAGAGTTTCGCGGATTCAGGGCGAGTCGCTTTCAAAATGTGGCTCTCGCCTTAGCGCCGCGCACACTAGTTTTAAACATGTGCAAGAGATTTGCGGATTGAGGGCGGTTCCTTTTCAAAATGTGGCTCTCGAGTTAGCGCCGCGCGCATTCGCTTATACAATTTGCAAGATTTTCACGGATTCCCAAGGTCAACGTACCAGAAACGGTCTTTTGGAAGGATTCGAGATTATGCGGGTGCAACAGTTACGTTGGTTCGCGGTATCGAAGTCCCAGGAATGGCGTTCTGGCGCGATTCAGGATCGTGAAGGCGCAACAGTCAAGCTGGTCTGTGGCGGTAGAATCCCGAAAACAATGTTTTGGCATGCTTCAGGTTCTTCAAACGGTTGTCTTCCAACGAGGCAATTCCCTCAATGGAAATGTGCCGTTGTAGGGGCCTGTGAAGATGGAGCTTGTAGGGAGGGTCTATTCCAACATCGTTGATGGCCATTGGGTTTACACTGGTCCTCCTCCTCCTCCTCCTCCTCCTCCTCCTCCTCCTCCTCCTCCTCCTCCTCCTCCCCCTCCCATCCCTCTTCCTCCTCAACCTCCTCCTCTTCCTCCTCCTCCTCCTCCTCCTCCTCCCTCTCCTCCTCCTCCTCCTCCTCCTCCTCCTCCTCCTCCTCCTCCTCCTCCTCCTCCTCCTCCCGCTCATCCCTTCGAGCGTTTGACAAAAGTCCTCCTCAAAGATTCGCCCTGGACGGCCCCTGGACAAAGAAAACGCCAGCCTCGAGCTGGGCTCGCCCCCTGGTCGCACCTTTGGCTAAGCCTCCTTGACGTGCCCCCGATGGAGGCAACCCCTTGGACAGGCGCGCGGCCAGGGCTGAAGGGGGGGGACACCAGCATGATTAGCTGCTCGCGTGGTGAGGGTGGGTGGGTGGGTGGGCCCACCACCAGTGGTGGGGCGATGGACAATTATTACAGAATCGTGGTCGCCAGCGTGGGCCTCAAACGATGTGCTTCTCGAAAAGTACGTGGTGTAATGTACTAATTCTATTCGCAATGAAGTGTCTGATTCGCAATGAATTGTCCACTCTATTGCCGAAGTTGAAGTTGCCAGCTCCGCTGCTCGCGCGTTCGCCCCACCCACCCACCCGCAACTTGGTTTGCAAAACCCATGCGGCGGCGATTGCGCTGAGTGCTTAGAGATGACTGGTGCGTCTCTGCGGCCGCGCTAGCCCGCGGATGCTCGCGCGCGCAGCGGCCAAATAGTTTGGCGCTGCCGACGCGGCCGCAGTGGCGCTGACCGCTGAGTACTTCCCAGCGGGCGCGTCAATGCGCGCTGGCGACTTGGGCGGCCGTGGTGTCATTGCAACGTCGGCCACGGTATACGCGATGATAATGGTCGCGATGCTGGTGACAATGACGACGACGGCAAGGCCAGTGACGGCGCCGATCTTGATCACGCCGGCGACGATGACGGCGCTCTCGCGTCGGTGATGGGGCTATGGAGGGAGTTCGACATGCGCGCGCGCGGCCGACGCGCGAGAGTAACCCGCATGGCGTTTTTGACGCGGATCGCGCCACGCGCGCAAGGGCGATCGAATAATTTCGACGGGCGGCGCGAGGGGCCCGTTTGGTAGGAGTTAATGAACATGTTGAAGATCCTCTGGTTTTCTTATTATTTTTTGTTGGAGAATTCGCAGGAGCGCGTGCGAGGGCGTTTTTGAAAACTGAGGTGGCCCAACATTTTCGAAAAAGCTAATTTGTTTTCGGGGCACTTGATTTTGAAATCGTTACGAAGCCTGAGATTTTGGTACGATTTCCGCATGCACGCGCGACGACGCGCGCGTGCAGGAGGTTCTTGCGACAGCACGCGCGCAAGGGCGTTCGAGCGTTTTCGACATGCTGGGGCGAGAGGCCCCTTTGGTAGCATGGCATGAATATGTTGAACAACCTACGGTTTTCTGGAAAATCTGCAAGAGCGCGAGCGACATTTTTTGTGGGCTTTCTTGTTGCGAGCCCATGTATTTGTGTTTTATGTTTTCGGGGCACTTATTTAGACGTCCATGCGTCACCTATGGTTCTTGAACGATTTCGGGACGCGCGCGCGACGACGCGCGCGTGTGCACTTCGTCCCGTTTTTTGGAAGAAGTTCTTGCGAACTGTTGATTTTTGATAAGCGAGTCTGCGCGCGCAACATTTTATGCGACGGATGGGGGGGGGGTGTCGATGCCCGCCTGGCTGGGGCGGTGTGAATTCATAGTTTGAACGGGCGATGGGGCAGAATCGCATGTAAATCGCAATGCGAAAAAGGGGGCGGTTAAATCCGGGGGGCGGCGGCGGGGGGGGCGGGGGGGGGGGGTCCGGATACTTTTCGAAGAAAGAGAATTATCCCAGTGCGACCCTACCTAGGAGTTGGGGCATCTAGGAAAGCAACATCTACATCTACGCCGACAGCTGCATTAACATCTACACCTGCATCTACATCTACATCAAAATCAACAGCGAGACTCACATCTACATCTACATCTACACCTACATCTACACCTATGCTACATCTACACCTGCATCTGCATCTGCATCTACATCTACATCTACATCTACATCTACATCTACATCTACATCTACATCTACATCTATAACTACATCTATATCTACATCTACATCTACATCTACATCTATGCTATGCTAGGCTGCGCTATGTTATGCTGCGCTATACTATGCAATGCTATACTTTGCTATATTATGCTATGCTGCGCTGGGCTATGCTAAGCTAAGCTATGCTATGCGGCGCTATGTTTTGCTATGCTATGCTATGCTATGCTGCGCTGTGCTATGCTAAGCTGTGCTATGCTTTGCTGCGCTATGCTGATGCTGCGCTGCGCTAAGCTGAGCTAAGCTAGGCTACTTAGGCTAAGCTAAGCTAAAGCTAAGCTAAGCTAGGCTAGGCTAAGCTAAGATAAACCTGAGCTAAGATGAAGCTAAGCTAAGGTGAAATAAGCCAAGCTAAAATGAGATAAGCAACGCTAAGCTAAGGGGGCGTAGCTGGGGGAACCGCGGGGCGGATCCTGGGGGAACCGCCCGGGGCGATTTGCACTGCCTGGCCTCTTTAAGCTAACTGGGGGGACCGCGAGGCGGATCCCGGGGGAACCGCCCGGGGCGAGTTGCGCTGCCCGGCCCCTGTAAGCAAAGAGGGTAAGAACCCTTCTAGGCAGAGCCTAGGTAGGGAATGTATGTTGTGCAATCTACGTGGCGCGCTTCGCCGTTGTCAGGTCCACTGCTCGCGCAGGCGCCCCGTCCGCCCACCCGCGACTTGGTTTGCGAAACCCACGCGGCCGCGATTGCGACGACTGCGCGGCGCTGGTTGGTGCATCGCTGCGGCCGCGCTGGAGCGCGCGAAGGCTCGCGCGCAAAGTGGCTCGCTAGTCTGGCGTTGCCGCCGTGGCCGCGGTGGCGCTGACAGCCGGGGACTTCCCGGCGCGTCTCGCAGGCCGCGAAGACGCGCGGGCAATCCAATGCGCGTTGGCATTCGGGCGGGCCCAGTATCGTGGGGACGCCAACAACGGCGGGCGCCG